TCAAGTAGTTCGAGTTAGTCAATATACTAGAGTTGCATGTGAAACTAATTAATTTCACTAAAAAACTGGTGCACCAACAGTGCACCATCGAAGATTAGTTTCGTCTATAACTCTAGTTTCATCATCGGTATACCAGTTTCACCAGTTTCACCTGCAACTCTACCCTATACCCATGCCAATTAAATGTAATATTATGTAAATCATATGTGCAGTTTACTAAGCCAATTAACACGGATTGATGGCATGTGAATAGAATGGGTGAATTAAAATAAATTCACAGTTCACTTTCCAATAGGTATTTTATTATGAGAGTAGTTAGAGTATGTACATACCTGAAAACTAAAGTAAGCGCAAATGTGAAAAATCTTACAAGGAATTTTTTTCTTAAGATACTATGACCAGAGCAATTATGGATATCAGGTCCTAATAGATTCATCGATACAGCTTATACACATGATATGATGTCACGAAATAATTAAATCAATATCAGGTTATCACTTATAACTAAGTAATCAGAGGGTTTATTATAATAATAATAAGTGATGTGATAACAATAATAAAAAATAATACGTACAACGGGGATCAAATAATATAACTAAACTAAATAAAAATAAAACAATTTACAAAACTTAAATACAACATATGTGAGAATCCGATTCTTTATTATAACTATATAACTAAGCCATCGTAGTCTGATCAGTATTCTGAGAGAAACTTTACAAGCGTGAAAACTCAGTCATTAAATACATTTTGGATTCTTATAAACTACTGCGCTACAACCATAATTACCTAATGCTGTAATTGTGCACAAGCCACCCAATTCCCATAGTCCTGGCTGACAATGATTGTTGTTATGCCAACAACCAAGGGCTAATAATTACTTGAATGACCAACAATTCATGGCTAACAATAACTAGTTCTGCTATCATACGATCATATTCTATCTAATGCTTATCGTATAATTGCCAATGCCAAAGTAAATAAACATTAGAATCGATCTATACTCTAAGCCTTCAGATGTAACCGTGGCTCGGGTCATTTGAGCTTTTTAGTACTACCAAGTTACATCTAGGTCATGGTTTTAAATTTTACAATACCCAGAGCAGGTTTACTTGCGAGACAATTATGAAAATAACAAAGAATTAGACAAGCACGGAAATGAGGGATACTGGAAAAATTAATCGTTATAATATATATAATCCTTTATTTAAATCTAGAAAAATTATAAATAATAAAATGAACTTTATTTAAAAAAATATTCAACATAAGAGCCTATTGATAACCCTGAAACGTTGGTAAAAAATAAAATAAAAAAATATATATCCATTAGCTTCCACATCTCTGCTTATTTTTAATAATAAAACATTTATCCTTCAATTCCATTTCTAAAATATCTAACTTTATATGTTCTTTTCTGATTTCTGGTAATAAACGAATGCCATACATTCATCTTTTTCGATTCCAGTTTCATGGAGATAATAATGTCCAATACTATATTTTCTTTTGGTGTGCTCTATCTTTACTGAGTTTTAATACTGGAAATAAGTTAATGCCCTATGTTTATTTTTTCGATTTCAATTCCTTATCAAATAATGACTTCTAACATTATATACCTTCCAGTTTGGGCGACAATTATCAGTCTAAACTATTTATCAAATCATTTACATCAAAATCTCTATTTCCATGCACAATATCTTCAGTTAGTAATTTGTTGGACTTCAGCTTCGAAGATAAAGATATAAAATTTTCAATTTCTAAAGTTAACAAGTTTTTGCCAACAGAATCTTCTTCGGAGGGCTCTTCCATGTCTTCTTCCATATCTTCTTCTATGTCTTCCTCGATATTTCCATCAACTTCTTCTGAAAAAGAAGCAGAATCATCATTAAATAAATCAGTACCATTATTCATAGAACTTGTGATTTTATTGAAAATCGATAAAAAATCTTCTTGACGAAGAGTTTGGTCAATATGATTAAGTTCTGATTTGACATTCTCTACTAAATATGAATGCATTTGTATCATTAACTCTAGTTGGTCAATGCTTAACCTAAAAATAATATTTAAATATTTAAAGCTAATAATGTAAAAGTTATGAGTATTAAAATAAAATTATAAATAAACATACTTAACCTGTCTTTTTCCCAAATACCAGCCTAGTATACTAAATGTGCGTTCATATGCGGCATTGTGAGTGGCAATAGAATATATTCATATAGCAAGAGTCTTGATGTGGTCTTCATTTTTTTTAAGTTCTATGGACATTCACCAATTAATTACTGTCTCAGCAGATTTAACAAAATTATCTGCAAAGGGGTCTTCTTAACTTCTATACAAATTTATTTGAGTCCTTAATAGTTCTGCACTTATTTGACCATCATCTAACTGTTTCCATATTTCTACTGCCTTTTTAAAAACATAATTTTTGTATATACCATGTTCAAGAAAGTCACCTATCATAAAAAAAAAATAAATAAGTAT